TACAGGCAAGGAAAAAAAGAAAAAGTATTATAGTTTATAAATGTGATGGACAGTACTTGATGAATACAGTAAAAATTTTCAAATTGTTGAAACAGTGTGTATTTTCTGTTTTTTGCCTGAGTTCTCTGTCTGAAAATATTAAAATCATCCACCAGAATGGGCAGAGATACAGTCTAGCACTTGCTCCCTTCTTTTCCTTCCTGTCCCCAAATAATGACTCCATTAGGCCGGGCGCGGTGGCTCACGTCTGTAATCCCAGCACTTTGGGAGGCCGAGGCGGGTGGATCACGAGGTCAAGAGATCGAGACCATCCTGGTCAACACGGTGAAACCCCGTCTCTACTAAAAATACAAAAATTAGCTGGGCGTGGTGGCACGCACCTGTGGTCCCAGCTACTCAGGAGGCTGAGGCAGGAGTATTTCTTGAACCCAGGAGGCAGAGGTTGCGGTGAGCCAAGATTGTGCCACTGCACTCCAGCCTGGGTAACAGGAGCGAAACTCCGTCTCAAAAATAATAATAATAATAATAATAATGACTCCATTTTGCCAGTTCTGGCTTTAAAAAGGGGAAAATCCAAAACCTGCTTCCTGGGCCCCTTATCTTAGCCGTACAGCTTCTGCTTTGTCCAAGAGGGCTTTGTCACAAAGAGGGAGAGACATTCAATTCACTACTCAGGCAGGAATAAGACAGTGTTACACTAAAGCAGACACACAAGGTGGCTTCCATGGAGTTCAAAAAAATGCATGCCTTGAAAAATGGGGCCGATTCTTCAGATTTATGGTAATTTCAACTTTTTTCACAAATGTACTAATTCTTCATCCCAGGTAATCTACAAACCTATTAGACAATGGTTAGCTGACTATACATTTTTTGCTCAATACCAAAATCCTTTATCTTGCTCCATACATAAATCCTTGACTTTCTTACGATTCTGCCTAGTGTCTGTTCCTAAATTCATTTCATTACTAGCTGTTAGAGAAAAACCATTTAGCATCTTTTAAGAAATAAAAAAGGTTGATGTTTTATGACGTATCTCTTGAAAACTCAGGATTTTAACAAGTATTTTGCACACACATGCACAGCATATACTAATGTAGCAAAAGCAAATCGCATGAAAAATTAGAAGGAAATACACATTTTCCACGTCTTGAGTAATGTATCTTTTGGTGCATTTACCTAGTCCCTTAGGAATCAAAACAAACCATGATTTCACCTTCTCCACATATGCAGACTAAAAACAACAAAAGTTGTTAGATCCCTCAGTAAGTATTTCCAGGAAAAAAGAAAGTGACCTTCAGAAATTCCTACGCAGAGGGGACTAAAGCAAAGTCCCATGAGCAAAGAGAGCAGACGCTAACAGAGGGCAGTGTCCAGTGAAGGATCCGCACATGCTCGCACCTACCCCCGTTTCCTGCTAGGTGGGAACAGATACTTCAGAAGCAGGAAGAGGTGAAGGGGTAGGATAAAGTTCCAAGGGAAACCAGCCATGGGGCCGTGCAAACATACAAGATACTGAAAAAGGACCAGTTCACAATGACATCAGCTTAGGACCACTGCCATTGCCCTTCTTCTCACACATATAAATTGCTCAAGAGTTTGGTTGCTTGCTAAGTACTATTTTATGAACTCAAATTGCCATGGTACAAAAGATACACCACTGTCCACAGGGGCTCACAGTCTGAGTCACTGAGATAACATGGCTCAGACTCAAAGTACAGCAGGCAACAAAGAGTTTTACCTCAGGGCTAAATGTTCTTCATTTTGGTGAATTCTGTCCTTTAAGAGAAGGACATATTCAGAAACTTCATGGAAAATGTACCTCACAAAAATATGAAGCAAGCACAATTCATGAGAGTAGAAAAAGGAAGTAAAAGCATCAAAACACTTGAGCAGTGTCTGAAGAAAGAAAACTAAGAGGGAGGAGGCATTGGGTGACAGGCTGGGACAATGCATCCTGATTCATTAAAAACAAACAGAAAACCATCTCTTTTCACTTAGAATGGCTACTGTCAAGGAAACAACAAGCGCTGATGAGGACACAGAGAAACCAGAACTCTTGTGTACTGCTGCTGGAAATGTAAAATGGTACAGCTGCTATGGAAAACAGTATGGTAGTTCCTAAAAAAAAAAAAAAAAAAAAAAAAAAAAAAAAAAAAAAAAACTAAACATAGAATTACCATTGATCCAGCAATCCCACTTCTAGGTGTATATTTGTACACCCACATTCACACCAGCACAAAGTAAGAACTCAATAGCCAAAAGTAAGAACTCAAATATCCATCAGTGGAAAAAAGGATATAAAATTCACAACGTGTGGTACATGCACACACTGCAATATCATTCTGACACAGACAGGACTAAATCTTGAAAACACTATGCCAAGTTAAATCAGACAGACACGGAAGGACAGATATTCTGTGATTCCTCATAGATGAGGTACCTAGAATAGTCAAATTCACAGAGCCAAATTAATCCATGAGGGAAGACAGTGTTACTGCTTATTGGGTACAGTTTCTGTTTGAGATAATGGGAAAGTTCTGCAGGTAGATGGCGGCAATGGTTAAACAATGTTAAAATAATCAATGGCACTGAATTACACGTAAAAGTGGTTAAGATGGTTACAATCTTACTGATATATGCCACAATTTAAAAACCAACAACACAGAAATGACAAATCTGGAGTAGCTCCAGTCATGGCTGGCCCAGCAGAGGTGGGGCCTGGACAACACCCTGCATCCCCACCCTCCCCTCCCCTCCATAACCACTCAGAACAGTGCTGCACACACTGCTAGTTGCCCAGCCGGCAGCCCTAAGCCCTCCATTTCCTCTTAGTTAAGAGTTTTGTCCAGGAATGGCAGGGCCTCATGTCTTAGGGAGACTGGGATATACCCCAGTGCCAGGGTGAATCTTGATTCACACAGACCAGGTAATTTTGAATGTTTCGTTCTCAGGACCCCTTCATACCTTTCAACATTACTGAGGACCCCAAAGAGTTTTGGTTTATGTGAGTTATATATGTTCACGTTTACCACCAGAAACTAAAATTGAGAAAAATTAAAGACAAAATATACAAGCACACATTGCATCAGCTGTCAGAACGCTGGCATCATCATCTATTATGTAACCTCTTGACAAAGCCACGGCACATTAGTGAGAACATGTGAGTGGAAAGGCCTAGCATTATTATAAAAATACTTTTACCACTGTGAACCTCCTGAAAGGGTCTCAGGGACCCTGGGCCCTCAGCCATGTTTTGGGAATGGCTAGTACAGACCAGTCATGGTATTTACTTTTGCTCTCGTATCAAACTGTAGGAACGTGCATGTTATGAAACTCTAGGGCATGAGAACTAAACTTCAACTGAAAGGTTTCTCAGTTTTAAATGAGTTCACTTTTTTCCATATCCAAAACAGTAGTCTTTCCATGACACTCAGAATGACAAAAGTCCCCTTGAGACCCAGGGATAAGGAAGCCTGAGAGGACTGGCCAACGTACTGCAAACAGCAGAGAATCACAGCCCTGTGTCCTCGCAGCACAGTTGAGGCAATGATGGAGCCGACTGTGGAACTGCTCTTTTTGCTTAATCCACCATTCTTTGGCTTTCCTGTTACCTGCAGTCAAACACATCCCAGCTGACACATCTCAGAACCTAGTCTGCTGAGCATATTTTGAAACCCATGAACTCACACAGTACCTGGCACGTTGTAGGAGTGTGATAAATATATACTGAACAAATACATGGAAAATAAATACATAAACAAACAAACCCACCAAGGCTACTGTAGAGGAAAAATAAAACAGATAAAATTCATACTGATTTTATATTGATAGAAACCCTTATAGCTCCAAGATTGTCAACATTTAAAACAAAGCTCATTTTAAGCCACACAAAAATGGCTATATATGGTACCTGTTGGAGGGACAAGAAAGTCTGAAAATGCTTTCCTTTGATCTAAAACATCTCTAAGCCCAGAGAGCTAAGTCTACTCATGCCAGATATGGACCACATAACCTTCTCAAAGTGGATGCACCTTGAATAAAGAGCACTTTTTTCCCATTTCCCCTCAGTATGAAGTCTTTTCTCTCATGAAATTAGCACCAAACAGGAGAGAATGCTATAAAACACACTATTTATGGAAAAAGAAAATGAGACAAATCACATACCTAGCTTCCAATCAATGTCATCAACTAGGGGTGCCATGACCTTGTCAGAAAATATTTAAAGCTGCTAAAATATAATCAAATATAAAATTAACAAATTTATGTTCAATTCTCCTTAAGTTGACAAGATTCTTCCCCCTCCTTGATGAAAGCCTGATAACTATTTTTAATTTGCTGAAATGTAATGATTCTTTGCTTCACTTCACAGGGTAAGATTGGTTAACTTACCCGTTTTCTTTTTTGAAAATCACAAAAAAATACTCTTGTTCCCATGAAGTGCTTATGAAAGAAACAAATGGTATATTTCCCCACCCCTCCTAAAACCAACAAGGTTTTAAGAAAAGTTCCACTAGGAGGAGCTGGCTATTTCTCTGTTGTGTCAGTGGTGTTCTACCTCTGAGATAGTCTAATCAGAACAGAAGACTTGAAATTTGCAGATAATTTCAAACAAACCTCAATTGTAAACAAAATCTGGGTCTAAGGAATTGGAGGAGGCAACTTCAATCCAGGTGCAGAGTATGTATACATACTCTTCAGATGACTCGGTAAAGAACTAAGCAATTGAATGTAGCAGATAATTCTGGGGATTTATGAAGTTCAATTCTCCCACCCATGTCCCCAGTGGTGGTGGGAGAAGAGCTCTTCTCTGGACTTGGCTTCAGAGTAAAAGCATCCCTTCACCATAGTGCTCGCCTTTGAGGCTGCCAAGACAGCCTGGTCTTGTTTATCAGAGCACCGAAGAGCCATCATTCGGACTTGGAAAATATCAGCCTGCCCTCATCTGCTCTGTTACAATGATTACTTCCTTTCCTTGCATTCTAGTCCTCAACTTCACTTACCTGACGGTAAGACTGTTGGGTTTTGGTTAGACCAGTTCGAAAGTGAGCCGAGGAGCACATTAGTCGTCAAAATATCAGGAAGCTTCTTTCTGCCTTTGTGACTGGTGACTGGGCTCCAAGTTATTTCTGCCGCTTTCTCCTCTTGGTTCCACAGGTAATTTATTGTTACCTAAACAAAAACCAGGAAACCCATCCATTTATTAGGAACCTATTTTATGACAAGAACCCTGAAAATCATTGCAAACAGAAAGATGACAGTGTTCCCTGCTCTCAAGTGACTTATGACTAATGAAGAAATCGGGGCCCATAACAGATAACACTTAACAGGGAAGGGCCGGGAGAAAAGGAAGCACAGGGGGCTGCAGGGGGCCCGAGGAAGGGGCACCAGCCAGGCAGGGAAGTGCCAGAGGCCCCAGACAGCAATGACCCCGAGCTAAGCGGGCAGGACGCATGAGCAGGAGTGAGCTGAAGACATCAAAATCTAAGGCAAGTCGCTTGCTGCAATGCACAGCAAGAGTTAAGTTACCATTTGACCCAGGTTCTCAAACTTAAAAACTATTGAGAGCTCCCAGTATTATCTAAAGTCATTTTTCTTGCTAGTTAAACATTAACAAACATAAAGCAGAAAAATCTTATGCTTATAACTCTTTTTTTTTTTTTTTTGAGACGCAGTTTCGCTCTTGTTACCCGGGCTGGAGTGCAATGGCGCGATCTCGGCTCACCGCAACCTCCGCCTCCCAGGTTCAGGCAATTCTCCTGCCTCAGCCTCCTGAGTAGCTGGGATTACAGGCACGCGCCACCATGCCCAGCTAATTTTTTGTATTTTTAGTAGAGACGGGGTTTCACCATGTTGACCAAGATGGTCTCGATCTCTTGACCTCGTGATCCACCCGCCTCGGCCTCCCAAAGTGCTGGGATTACAGGCTTGAGCCACCGTGCCCGGCCAACTCTTATACAAATATAAAACAAAAAAATGTACAAATTAAATACCAACAAATATACAAAATGAGTAAAATTTAAACTGACAAAATTAATTCAGCATGATCAATGATGCAGTCATTGAAACTCACTAACCATATGAGCTTAGTACTGACAGGCAGGTTCTGTTGACTGGCCAGTACTGACATATGCTGGGAGACAGCTTAATTCACCCATCACTTTTCTCTTCAGAACCACTGTGCAATGGCAGTCTCTTAGCTCAAACACGTTATTTACATTTTCACCTTTGTTCTTTTGTAATATCTCCCTGTATCTAAAGTAGTGCTCCTTGGCACCAATACAAACACAGCTGCAGATACTGAAATCTTAAGACATTACTTGGTTAGAATTGTAAGCATTTAGGTGTGTGGAAACATGAATTTTTAAAAATTACCATCAAAGTGAAAAATAGAAGGTGAAACCTTTAGCACAGAGGACCAGAGCATCCTAATAAATCCCACCTGCCTAATCCCACTCATCTTTTAGGGCCTGCAAGCCTCAGGCAGAGTTTAAATAAATGTATACCATGGGTCACTGAGCTCTCATAGGAAGCATTCTTGTGGTTAGCTTTTAGTACTATGTAAAACCAAATGTCTGACTTTCTTTCCTTAAAACTCTCTGCTCACATGACTTCCAGTCAAGATGGCACAGTGAATTCGCTCTTTGATGGAGTCTCTCTACTCCAAACATACAGCAAAGAGAGGAAAAAGGAAAAGGATGCAGGCAAGCACACACAAAAAATAAACAAACATTTCTATGAAACAGATATGGGACAGCAACACAAAGAGGCAAGGCCCTAAGGACAAAACCCTGAGCGGCCAGCCCCTCCTATGCGAGAATCCAAAAGGGCAATGAAACTGTAGGTTTAGGTCTTAGAAAGGCTGGGGGCTAAAGAGAGGCACAAAGGACAGAGAAAGAAACTAGCACCCTGTTGGAAGTTGGAATGGAAGGTGCTGAATGGAGCCCTACCCCTCCATGCCTGAAGGAGGCTGGCAGCTTCCGTGCTGCCTACGGAGTGGTGGTCTAGGGAGGGTGGAAGACACGTGCCAGCCAGGACCAGGCACTCCATGAAGTAGCCTGTGACTGCCCAGGAGCCCCCACTGTGAAAGCAGGTTCTGCACCCAAGCTCCATAGAAGCCACACAGAGACAAGCGAAATGGGGCTACACAGGGGAGAGTGTGCGGACAGGGAGAAAGAAATACGAAAAATGACTGAATGAGTGAAAAAAGTTATTTAAAACCTCATTCAAAACATGTCATTTAACCAAAGCTCTAAAGAAATAAATGCAACAAAATCAGACATTAGATCATAAATTCACTTTAGATGAAGTTAATCAGTCCAACAAAGGGTATATTTAGATGCTAAAATATCCAAACAAAGTATACTTAAGATAATAAAGTAATCCCAACAAAATATATTTAAGGTGATTAAAAACACCAACAAAAACAAGTATATTTACGGTGCTTTTAAAAAAGCTAGTTTAAAAAGATTAAGAAAGTATAAATCAAAAAGGCAGAATTAAAAAACAGCTCAAAAACAATCAACTAAAAAGTATGTAAATCAGAACTACAGTCATTAAAACTGAAAAACTCAGTGCACAAGATACTGGACAGTAGACTGGAGAGGAAGTGCTCTGTCTTGCCAAAACACACTGCACATCACTGAATCTGCAGCCACGCAGCTCAGGAGCTCAGCTGCTAGCCCCACAGCCCGGCCTCACTCAGACCTGGCCGGTAGCCTTTCCACACCACAGGTGACTGAATGGCTCACATCAACACATCCAGGCTGTGAGTCCCACTAGCATTCTGCCTCTCTCCTACCAGTTGGTGGATACAGGTGAGGCAACTTTCGCTTTATAAGCCCTACGGAAAGTTGCTGAAAAAGCAGACCCGGAAATGCTTCTGGTAACTTCTGGCAACAGATTTGCCCTCCTTGCAATAGGAAACTGATTCTGGATTTAAATTTATCTTCCTTGCCCACCACACTTCTCCAGCATCACCAAATGTGGACTTGACTGGATTCCTTGTTCACCGTCATGGTATCACAACCAAGTTTGGACCAAGGAACTCATTATACAGCAAGAGGAGTAAAGCAATGTGCTCCTGCCAATTGTCAGCTAAGTTACTACATACTAGCTGCTGCATGAACTTGATGGCTTTCACCTGTATTCCTTCATCACTTCCAAATTTCTCTACTACATATTTCATTCTACTGCATCTTCTCTGAAACTAAAACAGGAAACAAACATTAACATAAAGGGAAACATAAACAAGAATGATAGCCTGAGTTATGTGGAAAGAACTTTGATTTAAGGAATCATGGAAGAATAACAATTTAAAAAAAAACTTGGAAAACTGGTAACAAAACACATTACAATTGTTTGGGTAAAGAGTAGAGTCACAGTTTTTTTCCTTAAAAGGTCAGTAAGCTTCTCACTTAGGTTCCCCTGGAAGGCAGAGCTCAGCCAGGTTAGAGAAGGTAAAGACCCTAATTCACCCCCTCATTTCCAAAGACAGAAAGCAGCTCACCAAACCAGCCATGTGATGCCCACCAGGTGGTGTGCCTGGCAGTTACACAAGGGGATCGACAGGATGCAGGCCCTGGAACCAGCCACTGTGCTCTCAGAACCTCTCCAAAGCCAACGCTATGCTATGGCACAAGAGCACCACCTACTGAGTTCCAAGGGACACTTTAGTCCATTTATTGAAAAATGGCTCAGTAAAATATGACTGTGGAGGGATGAACTCTACATCATTTCAACCTGACTGGCTATGTCCCTTTCTCTTTTAAAACTAGAACATTCGCCAAGACTCCCGAAAAAGCAGCAGCATGCCTTCTACTCTCCCATTCTCACTTTAATTACTACAGTAAAATGAATCTCTTTTCCTTCTATCCATTTTTGGCTGTCATAATGAATACTGCTATTTCTAGATACCTTTTCCCCTACCTGTTTTCCAAAAGGCAGAGAAAACCTCTACGGGAGAAGCAGTAGTCGTCCTAAAGGGTCTGGGAAGGATGTATGTAAAGTCAAGTCATTTGATCAAAATTTTAAGCCCTATGAGGCACAGTGCTGAAATGGGGGAATTGCTTTCACAAACTCATTGAAAGATGATTGTAATAGTCCCTTTCTCCTTGAGGAGCTTAAGATGAACAGAGGTTCTAGACCAGCAAAGCTGGAGATCAGATGATCTCTTAACAAAATGGAACAAAGAAGAAAATACGTAGACGTAAGGAAAGAAGTTATGGGATAGGTAACATCAGGGAGAGCTGATTGCTTCTGCTGTGCTATACATTAAACATACAGAATACAACTGACAGCAAAGAGCGGGTTCTTTCCGGAGCCCTTCATGCTTTACATGAAGCCTTCAGGTATTGCCAAGTACAGGAACCCTGAGACAGACTCACCTGAACAATTTACATACATTTCAGCCTGCTTATCATGTAGCTTTGCTATGTTTCATTGGTCTTGTAGGGGCACTCTGGGAACCATTTTATGTACAACCTCTCCCATGCCTTAGTCATGATGAAAACACTGCAACTTTTTTGTGGACCTCAACAGAATGTTAGTTGTAGCAGAGAGGAGCAGTCACCTCTCCAGCATCTATTCTCCACGTTCCCCCTCCTTAACAAGACTGGAAATTTCCCAGCCAGCATATTTGAATGGGATAAGAATGGGCTCTGATTAGGTTAAAGCAGTGGTCATCAACCAGGGACAGTCTTGCCCTAGAGGGGATCCTTGACAATGTTTGAAGATATTTTTGGTTGTCACAGCTGGGAGGAGGATGTCACTGGCATCCAGTGGGCAGAGGCCAGGAATACTGCTGAAACACCTACCATGCACAGGACAGTCTCCCACAACAAAGAATTAGCAGCCCAAATGTCGCCACCTCATTCCCACATTAGCACATGGGACCTGTGAATATTACTTTACATGGCAAAGGAATGACTATTACCTTGTTCAACAACAACTACCAAGTGGTAACGTTCAGGATCCTGAGAGAAGGAGCGTGTCCTGGAGTATCAGGATGGGCCACTGGCATCCTTATGAGAGAGGCAGAGGGAGTTGGAGACAGACACAGATGAGACAGCAAATTGAAGACAGAAGCAGAGATTTGAGGGATGCGGCCACAAGCCCAGTAACACCATGCTGGCTGCCAGAAGCAGGAGGAAGCAGGAGTCCCCAGAGGGAAC